TCTTTAGAATTGAAAACTAAGAAATATAAAAAAATGGGCAACAAATTATACTAATGAATAAAACTTCTATTGTTAAAAACCAAAGGAAGTAGAATGGTTCTTTCGGGGAAAAAATTCCATTGTTAAAAAAATCGATTTCCGTTGTTTCAAAATTCGAAACAAAAATCGGTTCGGTTTCTAGTTTCAATGTTTAACGTACACTCGACACAAACTAGGTCATTTCGGGACTAACACATGTTTCAATTTTATTTCAATAATCCGCTTGCGCGTAGGGGTCTTTAGCAGTGGGAGGACCCGGAGAAAACCCACGAGGTTGGACAGGCGACCCTACTCCTTGTCACGTACAACCGGGGAATCGAAATCCCGCCAGTTCTCATTATAAACCTTTCTTTGAATAAATTGTAATGATTTGATAAGTTAGATATATTTGAAACAGTTGTACAGATTATCTATTGCATCCATTCACGTATACTTGTGGTGTATTGTTGTGATACAAAACTCAACAAACAGTGGGGGGGGGCGTTATTAGATTTCTGATAGGGGCATTAACGAAATGAAACGAAATGGGGTTTAACGTCCTATTGTTCTGTAGCGATTAGGCTAATGAAGACGCATACGCTATACAGTGTGCTATGAGGGAAATTTTGTCCCGACAGTGGCAATACGGCATTCTGTCAAGGGTTCTTTTACTTGCACGCCAATGTGTACACGGGACCTCGGATTTCCGTCCAATCCAAACGACTAATACGTTGTCAATTGCCAGGCCCTCCGTCCTGCAACTCTGACACGGAGCAACCACGCCGGGAAATCCACGTGAACTTTTTTTTTCGGTCAACTCTGGGACCTCCAGGTTAGCGAGCCAACGTCCTAATCACTGTGGCACCGTGGCTCCCTTAACACGAGTATACCAGTATCAAACAATATAGTTTAATGTCTTCTCAAAATTGTTTCAGGAACCACTAATCTCATTTTAGCGCTACTACCTCAAGAATTTGTACTATTACTCTAGAGTAAAACTGCATTTGTGTTTTTTGCTTAATAAAATCTTCTCTAAATGTATAATATAAGACATATAATTCTCTAAATTTCTTACATGCATATTTCTCTGTAGTTATGAAAAATTTTAATGATTGTAGGGTAACTTTAGTGTGGAAACCATATCTAATTTATTACTGACTGTAACTCAACTTTTGGAGGATATAACGCCAGTTGGCACCAACAATACCATACGGAAAGATAACTTTGAAATAACGGTGATAAAGAACAATATTAGCAGGATTCTTCAATCGACCCTTATTGAACCGTTTTCCTTCCAAAATGATTTGAGTGACACTGTTGTTGTTTTTAAGGTAAATGTTTAAGAAATCAATTTCATTCAATGCAATGTTAAGGTATTGATTTGGTATGTTCTTTCTACAGATGAATTATATAGACTTGCCAACATGTATAGGATCAAACAAAATCATTTCTATATATTGAACGAAAGTCGAGTAGTACTATGCTATACAGCTTGCCCTTCTTACTGAACACGAATTCAAGATCGGGTTTCAGGTTTCCTATGACGTCAGAATTATTAATAATAACATAAATCTTCGGTATTTCTTACTTAAATACAATGAAGCGTGTTACTGCAATTGTTAGTAAGATTAAATTACGTATCTATGGAGTGAAAGGTGAATCACCCATGATCATTTTGATCTTGTATTACTGATATTGTTTTGTCAATGAATAGATTTGAATTGTTTAAAATTACAATTTACGCTTAGCATTCTTAACAACAATTCTAGTGCATTGCATAGCACACAGGGTATTATGGTTTCATGAAAAATAATATCATTATATTTATCAATATTACTTTGTCTGTGTGACAGACATAAACAAGGGATTAATATAGAAAATAAACATGTTACTTATAATTTTGATTGTTAATATAGCTGGGTAATCCTTCCTACATTTCCTTTTCAGGGTTAATGTTGTGAAAATTGTTAAGTTCATAACGACCATTATCCTATATAAGATGTTTCTTTTTTTCAAAATTGTGTAGGTTTATAGCGATCGTGGAAACGCGTCTCTTAACATCATCATAGCTCTCTAAGAAGCAATCAGTTGACATTAACTTCAAAAGGGAGCTTTTCATGTGGTGTTTCATTCGTGACGAATTGCACATCCTTTTGTTTAATTTATTAAGCGCTCAGATATTGCCCAATTAGATAATTACGAAACACAACTCTATGGATAAACATATCTTTGTTAGGCAACGAATATGGCTTTTAATTTTCGAAGGCCAGGGACAATAACTACGCATGGAATTGGTGGGAGAGTCTGAATTTTAAAAGTTTGCCTCCTTTTGATTACTCTGACCCATAAAGCGTTTAAAGGTGTTAGTGACAACAACTAACTCTGCATTTCTAAAGGGTTCCTCTTTAGAACTAGCTAAACGACCCCACCAAGTTAGAAATAAATCTCCCAAAAACTCCACCTGTAGTGTCGCAGTGACTCTGCGAAAATCAATATAAGCCGGAAAAATCCAGCAAACGTGAACGCAACACCAAGCACATTAGGTCCAAAAAATTAAGCTGATTAGGTCAACATCCTCCAAGACATGTCAACTTACCTGTTGTTTTTTTTGTTGTTTTTTTTTTGTCACTGCATATTTACAGATTACAAAATATAAAGAGAATATTTATGTCCAAGACAAGCTGTCGCCGCTGATAGATTCTGATGTCATCGTCATAAATATAACAAATACTGAAGGTCAACCTATAGAAGTACAAGATCCTGTCTTAACCTTTAAAGATACCACCGTGGTTCCATACTCTTATGTTCATCCAGAGTTTATACCTGGTGACGCATCTCATATGTTTTACTTTCGGTTTCTGTACAGAGATCTGTCAGAATTTGTTTGTATCGGCATCAAACCTACAGACCTGAGAGTTAAATATCGCCTGTATTGGCGTTCTGCTATTCCCCCCTCGGATATTGAGTACGATACAAAACATGACGATGCCAATATTATATTTGTTCAAAATGAATATCAAGCCTGTTCTAAACCGGGATACCTGAAAAGATCTGGGGTAGCTTATGCTGGAATACAACCATATTTAGGTACGTCTGCTTATATAATCTCAGTCTTCCTGCGTCACTACTGATCAAATATTGTTGCCTTGATGAATGCAGATCTATCGCTTTCTCTTACAGTCGTATTTTTGGACCAGGAATCATGGTCCCCGAGCAATACTCACCATTGGACAATTACCCATTCACATTGGCGGCGATGACGTGATGCTCGGTTCCTGGTCCACGTGGTACTGTCGTACTAGTTTATTAAAGTTAAAGATAAATTTATATATAAATGCGTCTTTAGCAACGTTCATCGACATCCATTATGCAAGAGCTAAATCTGCCAAATGCAGGTCTTTCTTTAGGCCGGAAATGTTATCTAAATTATTAATTAGACATTAATTAACTTATCCAGACCATAATCAACTCTTGATGTCATCGCTAGCCTGCGATATTTATTGGATTGGAATCCGATCTGCTGCTCAACACTCATTGATGATTAAATCAACAACTGGATAATCGAGACAATGTTTTTTTATCGCTAGACCTAAAGTTACATTATCTAGTTTTTAACTATTATAACGAAAACTGCCAGCTCTTTATCTAATCTCCCATAATGTATCTTTAAAGTACAGCGCAAATGTTAATATCTTAGTCTGTTATTAATTTGTTCAATCATTTATCAGATGATGGTATTTCTTTGAGAAGAAGGCGTGCCTCACCAAACACAAATCAGACAGTAAATAATGATGATATTTTGGCATCAGATTTCTTTGCTCGTGTAATATCATTAGCGTGTTTTACGTGGGATGGTGTAATGGCGGTCTGGGACAGCACTTCATGTGAGGTAATAAAATGCAAAATGTGAATTATCAAAGGGCGGTCGTGGTCTTTCAAGCACCAAAACTACAGTCTTGGGTGAAAATATGTTTAATTTTCAAAAACAACCCCCTATGGTAAACAAAACACCCTATGTACTGTTACAGGCAACAAAATAAATGGAAACGTTTTTTCTCATAGCCATTCACAAATTGTGTAGCGCTAGGCGTTAATATTCTATGATTTCTAGATATGTTTATAATACATATCAAACTATTATTATTATAATTATGTTAATATTTCGAACGCAAAATTTTTTTTTTTTTTTTGATAATCTTTGTTTTCGGTGTACCGTGCTAAAAAGACTGTGAGTATTTGTCATCAAAAGTCACAAATTGCCGATGCCACACATACCAGTTTCAAAGAATCCGTGTTCAGCATATAAACCAGAATTTCAATACATAATCTGACTTTTTATAGGCTGTTTATTTTTTAAAATGAGAGTTTAAGGGTTAGAGTTGGGGTTATGATTTATATTTATGTTGTTTCAGCTAATCAGAGACAGCCCAAATAACAGCACAGATTGTAAATGTGGAAAAAAATCCAACCAGCCATCAGCCATTTCATTTCACACTCCACCAAATACCATCGATTTTGTCACCGTATTTAGTAGATTTGATATCCAGAGCCAGGCTGCTGTCTTGATTGTTATTATTGTTTGTACCATTATCGCTATCTTCTGTTCTCTCTGGGGTCACTGGAGGGACAAAATGGATACATTACAGGTGAGACATGTGCTCAAAATTTTGTTACAAGGCCTATTGTCATTATAAGAGAAATTTTAATAGGATCGGAAAAATACATAGATGTGTGGCGGACGGTGTTTTTAAATCATTTGTAATCAGTTTTCTAAGTTTTATGAATAGTTTATGAGATATAGTATTCTAATGAAAATCAATAACTGCTGAGATATTCCAATTCAAGTCCATGCACCTTTCACCCCCCCCCCCCCCCCCCGCTTGCTACGAAATTATCTAAGCATCGACTACTATTAAGATGGATATCAAAGAAATTGTTAGTTTAATTGTACTTTTATGTATTATAGTGGGGTGTAACATTATTAGCTGACAATTATTCCGAAGATTCTTATTTTTACTTAATAACGGTGTATACTGGTGGCAGACGACATGCTGGTACTAAATCTCAAGTTAGTTTTAATATATGTGGTGATAATGGTGAAACTGGCATACGAAAACTGTCTGATGGAGTTCGAAAGGTAGGTTCCTTGTAATTAATATTGATATAGAGGTAGAGTATGCTAACCTTTCTTTATATGAGTTCCCTTGCATGGAAAAACTTGTATTAAAGGGACAATAACACTCTTGCTGGCTTGACAGCTCCAGAAAAAAAAAATAGCCTTATTCTAAGTACGAGATGTGTTAGTGTCCTACCTGTTGTGTAAATTATCCATTAAATCCTATTTTACTTGTCCAGAGGGTTCAAAAATATTTTTAAATCCAAGTCACATTTGAAAAGCTTTACGTCAGGCTTTTCAAATCATTTAGTTGAATTTTTCCAATTTTTTAAATTAGGTGTGTTAAGATGAAATTTGTATCATCAATTAATTGGAATATTGTAAAATAGTGCAATTTGTTGACCAGAATAAAGATTGGGACATATTATTCAGTTACAACAAGAGTGGTATTGAGCCTTTAAACGGCTGTATTGGAACAAGTGGCTTTCTCATTTGAGTGGTTCAAATAGCTGGTATACTTTTGAATTCAAAGTCTTGAGCTATCTCTGCTTGCGGTTAAACTCTTATTCAGTTTAGCTTGAAGTAGTGTGGTGAAAGTGGGTTTGAAGTCATGTCTTGATGAAAGTAATCTGAATATATATACTGTACATTAATTATGTTACTAACGTTGACAGCTAAGAACTTTGTTGCATAGAACTACCACTTACCCAAATCAAAAGTACAATTCCTCTGAAGTGTTCACTAACTCCTATGAACACTCCAATCCATTATGACATGATCGCAGTACCTTACTGCTTAGACGTTACCTCTCTTCCGAAAATTGACGATTTTTATATACTCAATACTGATTTATTTATGCTAAATGGTCTAAGGAATAACAGTTTAAAAAAAAAACAATACTGATAGTATACAACCTACTGTATATCAGATCACTGCATGGACATGACAAACATTTCAGGAGATTCGAGCTGGAAGTGTTATGCATTTTTTGATGGCAACTCCGAGCTGTGTGGGTCCTCTCCAGTATTTACATATTTGGCACGATAATTCTGGCAATGGAAACGATGCTTCCTGGTACTTAGACAAAGTTGAGATCCGTGATCTTCAAAAAAAGGAAAAGTAAGTCAACCTTATGAAACATATGAATATAAAAAGTTTATTTAGTTTAAAATTAGTTGAATATTATAGGGAAATTTGAATTGAAATAAACAGTTGACTCGAGATGTCTAGACGACTTTGTTTTCTGTTGATTTGCTTCATAAAGTGGTTATCTAGTTATATTTTTATTTTGAATTCCTCAGTTTAGACCTATATTGACATAAAACTGATTTGGTGTTTAACATTTAGCTGTCTAAGCCATAAAAAAGATTAGTGAATTGGCCGATTTCCATTTTATCTGACAAAATGAAAATTTAATTGAAGAGATTTTACCTCGTCATCAGTGATCAAATAAACACTTCAGATCAGTCTCATCCAAGAGATTTTGTTCCTTTAAGCCTTTTTTAAAACTATGTTAAGAAAATATAAAACTTGTTATTGCAATAATTCCATAAAAGAAAGTATAAAGTCTTTTGTTTAAAATAACAATACTAAAAGCGGTCTTGTCTCTTGTTAGAAAAACAAAATGGAAGACAACGCGACAATAGGTGTTTCTTCAAACGCGTTAATAGGATAACTTAAACATACATTATGCAAGAGCAAAATCTGATTATTGCTAGTCTTAATTTAGGCTTCAGATGTTATAGAAATTATAAATTAGATCTTTATTTAAACAACAAGCCCAAAATTAACTCTGTAGACCCACGGATGGCTCGGCTACAGCTCGGATTTAAATAGGATTTCACTTATTGATAAATTCAAATATGGCGCACCCTGGTGAGAATACGTAAGTTAGATCGAGGCTAAATGATAGAGTGTACTTAGCAAGGCCGCTGTAGAGCGTTTCCGCATGCCATTGAAAACTTTACTTGATAATCGAGATATGTAGGTGGAGTTAACGCCTGTCAATCAAACGTTCGGCCAAGGTGAAGGCACATTTCACTACCATTTCTAGTCAAATATTACAACGATGATAACTATATTCAGAATAAAGTAATTAGACTGAAATTTTCAATATATTCTTCTTTCATCATCTATTTTTGAACTGTTATAGCAAGAATGGCCAACTCTCTATAAAAATCTCCCATAATGTATCTTTAAGAAAACTGATATTTTTTTAAATTTATAAACTTTAGAGTTTAAAGTAGCTAAGTCTCCAACTCAATATCATCCAAAATCTTCAACGTTGAAAACACGAATTATTTGTCAATTTAAATCAACATTGATGTTCTGATCTTACCGGGAAGAGATGGGCTTCTGATATCCAATATTTAAGACAAAATAAACATTTTACCATTGGTACACGAATCGTGTATCATAATGCGTTTCAGCGTCATTTGTAATAAGGGACTTGAAAAATTAGGCTAGGCATATTCCACATGTCAAGTCAAACGGTGACGCTATATTCTTATCTGGAGAGCATGTGCAATAAATACTATCGGTGTAGACTGGAATAACCAGGCACTAGATATTGTCATTCAATTGAGACTTCTGGCGTATTTCTCCGAACATAAATGATTAGAAATTACAGTGAAAACAGAAACGATGGAATGTAAATCAGTTTATATACATTCATATTACATTATTATATGCGTTGCGACCCATTTGTGTCAATATCTAGGTTCCAAATATTAGTGATTTAGCCCCTTTAAAACACCAACACCATTGAATACAATCACTGGGTTTTTTTTTTAGAAATATAGTGCTACTTTTCGACAAGTAATTTCTTATCGTTTTCAATCACAAATTATTATGGTGTTTTTAATGAGATCAATATCTAAATACCACTTAAGGATAAAATTTAGTTATTTAAATTGGGTTCATATATTTAGAGAATTTGATGCACGTATATAATCTTTGGATTGTTGAGCTTTTAATAGCCTTAGTCTCTGTGTTTTAAATAATGTAATTAATTTAAATTTTGTAGATTTGAATTCCCGTGCTCCTTGTGGTTAGCTGTTGAAGAGGGAACTTTGGAGAAAGCACTACCAATTGCAGGATATGAAGACATGTCAGCACTAAAGACCATTCTTTATAAATATGCTGCGAAGCACGTCTCGGATGATCACATTTGGTTATCGCTATTGCTCCGCCCCGTTAAAAGTCATTTTACACGTGTGCAGAGAGTCTTCTGTTGCTATGCGCTGTTAATGCTGACAATGATTGCAAACGCCATGTTTTTTGACCAGGTTGATAATAAAGATAGAGAACAAAAGTCGGATTTTAAAATGGGGTCAATACGATTTAACATGCAGGATTTATATATTTCTTTGATCAGTGTCATCATAACGGCACTTCCTATCTACGTTATCATGGTTCTGTTCCAAAAGTCGAAGCTCAACTTTTCTAAAGACGCCAAGAAACCTTGCTGTCTGCCGCCATTTTACAGAAAAGTTTATGAAGACAGTATACAACTAGATAAAGTATTGGTTATGAAGGGACTTGTCGATGACGAAGACGGGGTTTTGCCTCACTTCTTTATCTATGTTGCATGGTTTCTCGTGTTTGTTTCATCCTTTCTGTCTGCATTCTTTCTCCTACTGTACACTATTGAGTGGGGGCAGAGTTTATCTGAATTGTGGCTGACATCTTTCTTCCTGTCAATATTTGAATCCATTATACTTGTAGATCCATTCAAGGTAATAATAGGTTCATTCAATTTTCTTCACAGTTATTTTAAATTCTCAGAGAAAACATTGCTAACATTATACTTTAACTCAAATTTCTTCTCAATTATTTTAAATTCTCAGACAACACATCGATAATATGGTTTTGTCGATGTCGGTGACCATATTATAGATATTGATGATCCATTTATTTACATCTTTTCAGGTATTAGTGTTAGCTTTCACATTAGCCTTGTTTGTAAAAATTCTAAAGAAACAAACACCAACTAAATTTGACCTGGAAAGTATCAAAGAGTTGGTGCAACGCCGTGGAAAGCCGTTTGCCCGTAAGTACAAAAGCTGATTTCATTTCTTTTGTTGTTAACTAAAATGTTACTCCCAATACCCCATTATGGATCTAGTTGATGTTTGTTAAATAAATACTTGTAACAAATAATACTTAGTAAAATATACTGTAGCACAATTTTACGCCCACATTTTCATGTGGACGTATATTGTCGTCGCCCCTGTCCGCCCGGACGTCCGGAGTCCGTCTGTCCGTCCACAATTTGTTTATCCGATTTTGACGAAAGTTGAAATATAGGTTTATCCCCAAAAGATCTCGGTTCTTTTCGATATTGGCATATATCTGATCGAAACTTCATGGATTATGGCCCCTGATTGTACGAAAAATCACGATTTTAGCTTGTGGACACTCTAGCTGTCACAATTTTCATCTGACTTTGATGAAACTTGAAATGCATGTTTATAACCTAAAGATCTTGGTTCCTGACGATATTTAAGCATACCGAATCGTAACTTCCTGAATTATGACCCTTGATTGAACAAAATTTAGAGGTTACAATTTTTATCCGATTTAAAAAAAAAGAAAATGTGTGAATATATCACCGTTACACACTAAGATCTTGGTTCCTTTTGAAAACCGCGCATATCCGAACGTAACTTCCTGGATTATGGCCCCTGGTTGGTCGAAAAATCGCATTTTTAGCTTACAGATTCTCTAGAGGCCACAATTTTCAGATTTTAAAAACCGTTTAAACATATCACCATTCCACCATAATGAAGGTTGAATTCGAATTTCGGGAAAATTGAAATGAAACTGCCCAACAAAATGGCCGTTCTCTGTACGCAAATTGTGTAAAAGTATGTAATACGAAGGTTGTGGACCCTCTAGAGGTCACAATTTTTATCCGATTTTTATGAAACTTGAAATGTATGTTCATATCCCAAAGATCTCGATTCCTTTCGATATCGGACCGTATCTTCCTGGATTATGGCCCCTGATTGTACAAAAAAATCACATTATTTTTTTTAGCTCGTTTTCTGTCCATCTCTTGCAAAATGTGGGCGTATCTTGCATGACATCCGGTTGTTGATGGTTGTTGACAGGTAGCTTTATGATTATTTTATGTATTAACAGTTCAGCGTCGCCTTGTCCACAACAGTCCATTTTCAGCAGAAGATCTTGCCGAAGCAAAATCCCGACGAACGAAAGACGTAAAGATGCAACGTGCCTCAAAAGATCTTGTCCTCAATTCTCTGTTCGCCTGGATCCTGTTTAGTATCAGTTTCAGTAACAGATCCCATATGTCTTACCAGCTAAAAACAAACATTGCTAATCAACTTCTTGAACCACCAAAGGGATTTATCGCATTCGAACACGTACGTATTAGGCATTCGCATATTATCTTGTTTTCACTTTGAAAAATGGTTACACCCGTTAATGCATCTTGATCATATCTAGGGTGGGGTGGGAGCATAAGACTTGTGATTTTATAGCAAGTAAATTTTGGGAAAATATTTGGCAATATTTCATATTACGGGTCCTTGTTTTATGTAGGGTTAAAGGTTTGAAGTTTTATATCTTATAGGTATTAATAAGTGGCAATAAAAAAGTACAAAGTACGGATTTGTTATCTATGCGATCTCCAGAAATAAGAAGTGACACCAAGTGATATTATTGAATGTTGGCATGATTTATATAACATATATGTGAATATGATATAAACTAATTTAAATGGTCCTATTTAATGGCTATGCTTAAATCTTCAGATAAACCAAAGTGACCATTATTTCAACTGGTTGAATGAAACTGTTATTCCAACATGTGAATATGATATAAACAAATTTAAATGGTCCTATTTAATGGCTATGCTTAAATCTTCAGATAAACCAAAGTGACCATTATTTCAACTGGTTGAATGAAACTGTTATTCCAACACTCTTTCCGCTTACTGAATATAATGGCAAAGCGTTAACGCCAACGGAGAGGTTGCTTATATCAGACAATACTAACTACAAGGTTGGTCCACCACGATTGAGACAACTTCGAGGGAATAAAGGTGTGCAGATTCAGTAGTTTTATTTCTTCCGATGCAAACCACGGTGCAATTATCTCGTTGATAGCCATGGTCGTTATCTTGGATATTAACCTCTTGTGACGCAATCAGAGGTCATTATTGTGATATTAACATCAATGCAATATAACTGCTAGATTCAACAATACAATTTAACGTGAAATTTGCAACGCTGGGAATACGACCGGAATCGTAACAGTCCAGCAATATCCAACTGAAATATATTGAAACAATAATCTTAAAGACAAATACATCCGTGGAAAAAATCTTTCTACGTCATTAGTTATATTTCTTTAATTTCGGAAACACATTTGGCATTACTACCAAAGAGATCTAGCATAGAGATCCAATGCTGCAGTAACATAGCATTTTAAGAACAGTTGCATATATTCTTAAAACGAAATATATCAATAGAAGAAATATGTTTTATCTGATGTGTACTTGTTTTCAGGAAATTGCACCATCCCTTATATTGGTAAAACCATGTGTGTTGATGCATATGATTCAACCGAAGAAATGAGTACTGATTTTTGCATAGGATGGGAAGAAGGTCCATGCTCGGAAGAAGAACTTCTGTCGTTTTCCCACAGGTCCTGGAAATATATATCACCAAACGATGTATGGGGTTTGCCAATTGTTGGTCTGTTTGGAATATATACTGGGGGTGGATATGTTGCAGATCTTGACATCAATCGTGTTGTTGCTCAGGAAACATTGAACGATTTATTTAAACATTCTTGGATTGATCGTCATACTCGGGCTATTTTCTTGGAATTCACCCTTTTTAATGTAAATTTGAACGTCTTTTCCTACGTCAGCATTCTGGCTGAGTTTCCAGAAACTGGGAGCGTTTTAAAGTTCACGAACACATTTCCTTTTCGAACCTCTCACACTGTTGGGTCTTTAGGAGGTTATGTTTTTCTTTGCGAGATAGTTTTTATTGTTCTAACAGCATACATGACCATAACAATAATTATGAAACTTTCTAAAATGCGTTTTGCTTATTTCAAAAGTTTCTGGGAAGTTGTGGAACTAGTATGTCTCATGTTCTCAATGGTGGCTATTGCACTGTATATGGTACGAATGGACAACACTCAGCAAGCATTGGCAAGATTTAAAGAGAATAAAAGAATGTTTGTAAATTTTTACCATGTTGTTACCTGGGACAATGCTTTTATATATGTTCTCGGTTTTCTAGTTGCCATAGCAACATTGCGAATATTGAAGGTAATGGGATACACGAAACGGACAATAACAGTTTATTTGGTATTGAAAGAAAGTTCATCGATATTACCAGGCTTCGTCTTCTACGTTTTCTTGGCTCTAACCAGTTTTGCCACCCTGGGATTTTTCCTGTTTGGCCGAAATGCCAGTTCGTACAAAGATCTGATCACGGCTTTAGAAACAACCTTCCGTGGTATGCTCGGCGATGCTTCCTTTAAACTGACGGAAACCACCGCCGAAGACTCGTGGATAACAACATTGTATTTTGTGGGATTTGTATGGATTATAATATTAACCTTATCTAATCTGTTCCTGGCTATTCTGCTAGATGTAATGGCAATAGCAGATCAAGGACGGAAGAAATCTGGTGACGAAAGAGATATGGAGATCTTCAACTACATCTGGACAAATTTTGTCAAAACAGTTCAAAGTAAGATTTTTTGGCATATCATCAATATTAACCTAGTTATTTTGGTTGGCACCAATTTAAAATTATTGACCATTATTAGAGTAGTAAAGAACGAGGCGTGTAAATGTGAAGACTTGTAAATGTGATAGTATGTAGTGAGAACGACAAACTATTAAGATAAACTTCCCGAAAGATCCACGACAAGATCATTCGTAAAACTCTCTTTGCAGCAGTCAGTTTTATTGAGTATAGTCGCGTCATATAGATCCAAAAACTGTTCAAATTTAAGATCATAAATTGCGTAGCTGCCAGGGTATAGATATTTGTTTTTAAAGAATTGTTTTTATTAAAAAAAAAACATCGGTGTTTCGATTCAGAATACAGATAATGATTCACGTCATAATCTTAATTTCTTTCCTATATTTCAGCTCAATGTAAGGCCAACTACTTTTTTAACTCTGCAACCTAAGCGAAAATAAAACACTTTGACTGAACAGATCTGTCATAGTTTTGTATATAAAATACTATTTATATTATATTAACAGGGGGCAATCGTTCTGGATCAACTCCAGTAGGTATACAAGATGTTAATGTAAAAGTTAACACTCCTGAACTCCCACCATTGGATCTTGCAACCGAAAACAGAATTGATCAAATAATGCGCAGATACAAACAAAATGTCTTCACACGGAGGCAAGATGGTTACTGATTCAATGTAATTTGGTAAATTTGGTAAGTCAAAATGGTATTCTACTGATCTCCGATTAGAACCGCCAATTAAGAGCGTTGTTTGTCATTGTCACCAACATTATTTCAAAAAAGTGACGGGCAACTGAAGATAGGTTAAAGATATGCATATGCATGTTCTCACATTCAAAATTCAACTGATTTCATAAAACAAAATGACAAAATTATGGATAATTAAAATTATGGATAAACTATGTATAAAACCCACAGATGGACAGGAATAAACGTGTGATAAAAAGATATGTCATGTTACTCATATCAAAAATTTTTCATTCAACTAACCATTCATTTTCACCAATGAGCATTATACAATCACAAACAAGTACGTACGCAAAAATTGTTACGTTTGTATAAATATTAATTGATATACTTCAAAATGAAAACTGCTTGCATTATAAAAT